ATGAAACTTCCCTAAAGTCAGGATCCAGATTCAGGTTGGAATGAAAGAGCCTTTGAAGAAACTCCAAACATATCTCAGTCTTCAGCCACCACGCACCAAGTGTGTAGGTCCACGTTAAAACAAACAGCACTCACGTAATTACTGCCATTTCACATTTCCTCCTTAAACTTCAGAACTAATGGTTTCTTGAAACCAAGAGAACCTCATTTCTTTCTGTGTAGACTTGCAAAATATCTAAAAAGGATAAGAACTTACTATGAAACCAGGCACAAGCTTGCAAACAACTGCTGTCACTTCCTCTCCTCCTGAAGACCGCTGGGTGAACTTAACATCACCATCATTAGCAACGTCTCCTTCTATCCCTAACACTAGGCAAAGGAAAAACTTGCCTSCTCCCAAGTCTCCTCCCTTTCCATATATCTTTCTCCACTTGGCAACCGGTTTTGCTTCAGGCCATGCAAATCACGCGATTATCTGCAACCGCATTCCTCAGGTCTGACCAGGCGGAGGTGGGAACAGTGCAACCCCAGTGCTGCAACAGTGCCAAAAATCAAAATCCCTCTCTGCTGCTGTAGGAAGCCCTTCCAGCTTTGCTTACACCTCCTGCTCTTCTCCCAGGGCCTTCCCGCCAGCAGAATGGTTCTGCTCAGGGCAGTTGTTAGGTTTCAGAGTCAACAGCAGACCAAGATGAATGCAGAAGTTCACACCTGAAGAAGTATTTTCAACCGTGTGCGGACTCAGGGAAAAGAAGCAAGATTCGAGATCGACTAAGAAGGTCTCCTTTATCCTCAGTAGGCCTGGAAACTTGTTTTTTATATTTTGTTGAACATTTGAACATTGCACAAATGGATGGGGCCACTGCTGGAGGGCTGCTACCACGTCCCACTGCCTACTTATTTTGCCAAGCTCCTGCCTGCTCACGAATATGAGGTGTGTGGCTACAGGGAGACAGCGGAAGAAAAAGCAGCAGAAAGGAACATTAACAAAAAAGCCATTTTATTGAAAATGAAATTCAAACTTCAAATTAATATTACAATCATGAGAAAATGCCAAACAATTCAATTTACAGTTGCAACATACAATACAAATAGTCCCTTTGAAGTTGAAGTAAACTGATCCACAATCATCGTCTGTGGCACAAAGCAGAATGTGTTTGTACAATATGTGCATGAAAAGCAAATCTCGGGTGACAGCATTTGAAAAAAAAAATAAAGCTTGTATTTACACAAAATGCTACAAATATTTTGTTCCAGCAGAAATTCAAGACTGGTAAAGCATATTTAACAACAACAACAAAAAAAATGGAATGTCACTCATATTACCTAAAACAAAGTTACTGCAGAAGTATGGTTTTGGCTGATATACTTAGAAGTACGGCATTTAAAAAAAAAAAAAAAAAAAAAAAGCAAAGAGTTATCTGTAAACATGGAAGTAAACAAACATCTAAAAAAGTTCTCAGAAAAAATGTTAAAATGAAATGCATTATATTTAAGAACAATAAGAACGTCGGGGGGCGGGCAGAGAGCTGGGCTCCGTGGGTCTCGTACGCCTGGCTGGTCCACGTGTGGGTTATTGCTTTCGTTGCTGGCTGGCGGGGCTCGAACCGCACGCGCTACGTGCGAAAGTGCAAAATTCTCCCCGCCGGGAGCGGGGGACCCTCCTGGGGGGCTGCTGGGCAGCGGGATGTGGGGCAGGACCCACCTGCGCCGCCCCGGGCTGTGGCTGCTCTTGCTCCTGCATCCTGCCCCGCGCGCGCGGCGAGGGGAGAAGGGGGCCACGCGCCTCCGCTGCCGCGAGGGCATCTTTGGTAGGATAAGAGAGCTGGGAAGTAGCGAAGGCAAATTAAAAAAAAAAAAGAAAAAAAAAACCCTTTTGAGACTCTCCGAGGAGCGCCAGGGGCTGCCGCTTGCCAAAGGAAAGGGCTGGGGCGCCTGGATGAGGCTCCTCTCCGGAGATGCTAAAATGTCACACGCTCTTGTGAGGTTAACTAGCTAACACCGCGTTGCTTTCTTTCCTCTTCTTCCTTTTTTTTTTTTTTTTTTTTTTTTTTTTTTTTTTTTTTTTTTTTTTTTTTTTTGTATTTTTTTTCCTTTTTTTCCCTCCTGAAATCCTGAATCGGGAGCGTTCCCAAGTGAACTTGGAAGTGTTGGCAAAAAGCTCGGATGTGCTCAATGTCCGTGTAAACCCCGGCCGGCTTTCCCGACGCACTGAGGGGCTCGGGGAGCACAGGACTCGCTCCGAGGCATCGGGTGGCACTTGGAAAAATCCCATCCGTGGCCTCGGACGTGGCTCAACCCGCATGTGAACGTCAGGCCCCACCGGGCTGGTTCAGAAAAATAAAGCGGGGCCACGAACCGAACGGTGCCGGTGCTGAGCGCAACGCAGATCTGCTCTACGCTGGATTCATCCAGAAATGAACAAACAAACAAACAAACACAAAGAAACAAGTGCTTGAATTTTACAACAAAGTCTTTAAAAAAGAAAAAAAAAAGAAAAAAAAAGAAAAGAAAAAAAAAGAAAAGAAAAAAAAAAAAAGAAGACAACTCTGGGTTGCTGCCTGCAGCCACTTTAACGTTTCAACACAAAAAAAAAAAGCACCCTAAAAATTATTTAATATGCATACAGTAAACCTTAAAAAGCCCTTCTCAGCAATAACAAATAATGTACAAATATAGTACCTTTTATTAAATAGGAAACAGCTTGCACTGGCAGTACATCTTTTTCTCTTGCCTACTAAACAAATAATAAAAAAAAAAAAAAGAAAAAAAAAGAAAAGAACTGAAATGTGTAACCAGACACTGGCTTTTTAAGTGCTGCTGAGACCGACAAACGTATTTTACAGTTACAAACACGCGGGCAGTGGTGYGCTTCAAGCCACCACGAGCCGCCAATAAATAGAATCAATTACAGCTTCCATCTTTGAAGGAAAACTAAGTATTAGGCAAAAAAAAAAAAAAAAAAAGTGTCTTACTTAGACTTTAAGCATACTTGGTATACAACCTTTAGAAGGCAAAGACTTTTTTTTTTATTTTTTCTTTTTTATCTTCTTTTTTTTTTTTCCCCTAAGGAATGGCACAAATTGGAGGCCAGGAAGGAGCAGGTCGATGGCAGCCGGCATCAGCTCTGGCCATGGGCCCCAGGGTGCAATTCCCGAACTCCCGTGCCCAGGAGAACCCGCAGGGATCCTTAACTCCGGAGCAAGCCCTTGGCTTGCAAGGAACCACCAACCCTTGGCATTTAATGCTCAGGATCCCTTGGCATTTAATGCTCAGGAGCGGCGAGGCCGCGGTGGGACCGTGTCGGTCTCGACGCGGGGGCCAGACCTGCTCTCCCTTGGCCCCATGGCCGGTGCCCAGCGGTGCCGCCGCGTGTGCACTTCTTAAAGCACAGTTGGAAACTTTGTTTTGAGAACAAAAATAAAACCAAAAAAAAGGTCAACATTCAAATCACGTTGCCGAAACAGAACGCTTTAAACAGGAATGTTTTTGAATTTCCAAGAAAAATCCTGGGAGAGGAAGAAAGCAGGTGAAGGTGGAAACCCCTTCATCCTTCCTGCTTTATTYTTTTTTTCCAGTGTCTCCACAACTATGGATTAAAAGGCAAGACTGTGTTGAAGGCAACCAGAGAGCTAACAAAATATAGTTTGAACACACTATTTCCTTCATAAGTTATATGAAAGGGTCCTGCATCCCAAGCCATGTGATGCGGACGGGCTTGGGTTGGTTTCATTGTTTTTAAATCTCACTGTAAACTGCTTCACACTGGAACTGCTTTTAGAGATGGATAAAGGCTTGAGGTTTATACCATTGCAGAAATGTAATAATTAAAAAAAAAAATACTTTTAGAGACCGAAGTCAATATATCATTACATTAAGAAACGTTTAAAGGGTCCAAATGTCATTAAATAATTATAAATATTCTTTTAAAGTTATATGATGATTCATGTTAGCAAACAACCTCAAATTTTACACATTTATAATTTAAAAAGAAAAATAAAAAAGAACATAGCCGAACACAAATACTATGTATACCAGTTTGGCTCTAGTAATATATATTGCCATTTTCATATTTTGCATAAGTAACAACGTTTTGCTTTTTAAGAGGATTTGGCTTTTTTATTTTTAGTTTTTGGTTAACTGCACGAAGGCAAAAGCAATGGAGGCCAAAGCAAAAAAGAAACTCCAGGGTTGTCTATCCTAACTCATTCTCTTGAAGTACCCCAAACCAAACTGAGAGGGGGGGGAAAAAAAAAAGAAAAAGCGACGAACACAGAGATGCTCCAACTTTCCTCTGCAGCAAGGCTGGGGGCGGAATTTGGGATTAGCTCTTTTCATCAGAACATATCATGGGGAGGAACCTCGCCCTTGGCTTGCCTCGTTACATGCACCCATGCAGGCCAGCCGAATTGCACTACGTCGGGGAGCAGCGTCCCGTAYGGTGCATGATTGCAGCTGGATCTGGAGTTCATGTTCTCTTTTTTTTTTGGAAAAAGAAAGAAACAAATGGACCACAGCCTTGGCCTTGCATCACTGTGTCTCTCCTCCCAGCTGGGGAGTCCGTTCTCTCCTCCTTGGAAAAAGAGCTCACTATTTAGCACGATGCTCTAGTCAAAAAAAAAAAAAATAAAAAAAGGAGGGGGTATTTTTTTTGCATGTAAAAACCTTTTTTTAAATATAAAACATGGCAAAAAGATTCTGGGGAAAAAAAAAGATATATATATGTGCTTTAATCCACATGATCTGAAACACGGGTCGTGGTGGTGTGTTGGTTACTCTCATGTTATTTATGGCCATTATCATTCCATCTACACAGTGACACATATCAATAAAACCTCTTTGAAAGAAAACAAAGCCAAAAAAGAAAACCCCCAAAATAACCAGGCACTTTGTAGTTAGTCGACCGTTTGTGTTTTTTTTTTTCTTTTTTTTTTCTTTTTTCTTTTTTTTGATTTTTGTTTTTTGTTTTTGGCTGGCGGAGGTCGGGCTGGGGCAGGAGCAATCTCAGTACGGCCTCCAAACGGACTCATCCATCCTGCCACTAGAATTCAAGACGGTTGGGGAGCTGCTGTGGCTGCCATCCGCCTCCACCCCATCACTCTGGTTGGGCAAGTTAGGGTTTAAGAGCGTGCTGCCGTTGGCCGCCGTGGTGCACGGAGGAAGCATCCGGGAAGGGGAGCGGTCCCCTCCCGGCACCATGGGGAACTGGTACGATCCCGACGAAGTGCCATAGTAGAGATATGGAGTGCTGCTGGTCTGGAAAGGTCCACTTTGGTTTTGGGAAGAGCCGGGGTAGGGTGGTGGCAGGTAGGTGTGGTAGTGAGTGGTTGCGGACATACCCAGTGACATGCCTGAGGTGACTGGCGGTGTATAGGTAAAGGTAGCTGGATAGTGCATTCGAGGGTTGGAGAAGCGGCTCTCAGTGAGGGATGAAATGCTTGTGAACTGCCTGGGATCTGAAAATGGGCCCAGCTCTGAAGCACCTAAAAAAATTATAACAGAAGATGGGGGAAAACAATTCTGTAAATACCGTTTTTTTTTTTTTTTTTTTTAAGCAAGAGCCAATAGCTGTTTTTTTCTTTTTTTTTTTTTTTTTTTTAAGAAAACCCCACTTCTTTTGGCCCCCGAAAGAACAGCAGATCATAGCAAATAACATATTGCAAGGAGCGCGTACCTGTCGCCTACAAGCACTGGGGCGAACGGGTCCCTGCTCTAACCGCGCCGATGCCCACGGAGGCAGCAGGGCTGCCAACCCGGAGTGTTCTCAAGCCACGAGCCTGGCTTGCAAAAAGAGCCACGGGATTTTCTCAAAAATCACGAGACTGATAGAAGAAAAACCGCATAAATATAAGGGTTGCTTTCTATTTGGTTCGCCCTCTGGCCTGTGAGCTCTGAGGGTGCACTCGCATTGCTGGCGTTTTGCTAGAGCCTCTCCAGAACCTCGGTCGTGGTTTTGATGAAAAATGAGGTTCACGCCTATGTGCGTGGGGGTTCAAGAAAAAAACAACGTTTTGGTGCAGCTAGCAAGAAAAGTCTGAGAACTGGCAACACCGAGTGTGCTCCACCACTGACATCGGTGGCGTTACACCAAGGTGCAACTTCCCATGTCAGCTCCACTCGCTCCAGTGAGGATTCACTCAGCTACCTTCCTACCTGCAAAAAATACAACTTGGTGCAGCCAAGGAGGATCAGAGTGGGACAGGCCAGGGGGCTGATAGGAAAGATGCAGATTTTACTTTGCAGCACAGCACGCGGAAGGCACAAGCCCAACACTTGTCCCATCGCTGCAAGAAGTTGCTTCTTCCACAGTCTGCTCAGCGTGGCCAAGCGAAAGAGCACAGAGTTTATGGCTCCTGAAAGTGCCTGGATGGTAACGCTGTGAATCTGATTCTAAAGCAAAGCAGGGGTGGGKGAGCTCAGCTCGCCTCCTTTTAATCCCACATCAAACGTGCTAAGTTTGGGAGCAGGACTGGGAAGCCGACGGGAGCAGCATGGGGACCTGCTGCGGAGACCACGGTGTGGAGAGCACGGGAGGCAGCGGCAAAACACGACGCCAAACGCCCACGGCCCCGGCAAACGGGATGCAGGAGAAGGGGCAGGGGAGGCAGGGAGGAAAAGTCTAATGTAAAAGCACGGCACAGATCGGAGGCAACCTGCAGCCAGTGTGCAGGAGGTATCTACAGAGAGGTGGAAAGAGCAGGGTTGAAATAAAGAGGGAAAAAAAATAAATGAAAAAGGCAGGAAATGCAATTGGCCTTTCCTGCGCTTCCCTGGTGACACTGCTATGTCTGCCCTCTCCTCAGGTTCACCTGTCTCTTTGCCAAAGAAGGTCAAATCTAATCCACTTCGTAGGAAACTACAGGGGCTTCCAGATGCCAAATAGCTGGTGCCAAACGGTGCAACCAGCGCTCAGGGYGTCGGCAGTACAGGCAACATCAGGCGGCACCTAAATGTGATGGAGGGGCAGAACCTGGGGGCATCTCAGGGGTTTAGGCTGAGAATCRGGGCTACATCCAGCCAAGAGTCCAACGGGTACAGCGGGAGATCCGGGCATGGTAATCCAGCTTTGCACGAAGCCTCGCAAGAACTGAGTTTAAACTCGTAGTAAAAGCCTGTTTCTGCCGCCGATGACAACGTGATTACGATTCCCTTTATCTGGAAGTGAATCAGTGACCTACGGGTGAATGGGTCTGTCTCCATTATCGAGCCCTCAAACCATAACACTCTGGAATGTAATATAACTTGTACCTTTATGGCAAACACTCTACTACTTGATGCAACTTCTTTCGTTCCCAACTGCAAACAATAGCCAGAGGCCATACCACCCAGATTCAAAGCTGTAATTTTGGAACGCCATCCTTTATATTGTGAACAGGTCTGATACGTATCTGGAAATATAAGGTTATAGCATAATTTCCCCAGCTGTTCAAAAGGCTGAATTTCAATCTGCTACTGCTTATGCCTTTTTTTTTTTTTTTAATTGTTATTGCAACTCTCCCAACATGAACAGAGTTGCTCTTAGTTTACCCTGATAGAAGCCAAACAAGCCTTTTAGAATCAAACGCAGAATTAGGATGAGTCTAAGGGTGTAGAGCACTGGTATGGTTTGCTTCTTTGCAACCAATCCCCCTTTTCTTTAAATGAAAAAAAAACCCCAACACTATCAACACAGATTTACCTGTGTAAAGCAATCTTTTTCTCAGGGCTCCATCCAAATATTATCTGGATGAGAGTTGCCAAGAGATCATGCCGGTGTTGCACAAGGCAGCATGTGCTCGCCTCCCTCGGCATTTCTAACGTGGGCTGCAGACCTCCATCCACAGCCTAGTAAATCTACACTTGTTTGTTTTTACGGGGGCTTGTAAAGTACAGTCCTATTTACCCACAGGCCAAATAACCCCTTCCTATCTCACTCACGGCCGGCTCTGCCCCACTCCTGAGCGCTGGCTTCACCATCCGCCAAACACCTTCTGCTCTCTTCCTACTTTTCCTGCTTTCGGTTGCATTTTGCTCCTTCAACAGCCTTCTGCATCTCCACTGTGCAAACGTACTTTTTTTAGGAGGCTGATCAGGACAGCTTTCCATTCACCCCTCACTCCTAAAAAAMCTTTCCTGAACAAGTCTAGAAACTTTTAAAATTGCAAAACCACAGGTTTTTGCCTTCCTCATTGCTATGTAATCGCAGTGCTGCTATTTCCTCCTTCTCCTCTCTATGCTACCTCCTCCTCACGTGTTAAGGTTGACTTAGGTTCTAACCTGCAAACCCCAGATGCATATTCATTTATACACATACAGCTCTTTGCAGGACTGGGAGCATAAACAGCTCTTGTGGGTATGTAGCCCATCTCCGTATCTGTACTTGCACATAATTGGCAGTGTCRATGGGCAATACAGTAACATGCAAGTGCAGGTAAATAATTTATTTACTCCTCTCCCCAGCGGGATTAAAGATTTATGCTAATTTTTCCGCTGTCAGAGCAAGAACATGGTTTGCATCTGTGACTTCCCACTCTCGTGATCGCTTATATTAAACTGGTGCAGTCCGGCTCCTCTGMTCCATCGCGGCTGCAGAATTGCCAAGGAAGAAGAAAAGAGTCTTTCTTCCATGCTACCAGAAAAAGAAAGCAAACAAACAAGAACTCCAASCCCCCAAAATATGGAAACAAGCAGCAAACGGACTTCTTTTTCCATACGACTGGATCAGTCTGTGGTGCTTGTCAATATAAAAGCAAAGGAGACCCTTTTCACCCAAATCATTCACATCTAATGGTGCACAGGGCAAACTGCTTTTAAATTTCCTAGGCAGATTCCTCCCTGGCATAACCTGGTACTCAAGTTTTCTCAGAGATAAACATTTAGAGCAGAAATGCGGTAATGCTAATATGCCAATATATATGCTAACGTACCAGATTGAAGAATACTCTAGTGTGTTTCATATTTAGAGTAAGAACAATTAAAATTCCATGTGGTTTCACTTATTTTGATGCAGAAGCCTCATTAAAAACCCTAGACTTGGGAATTTGCCAAGAGCAGCCTGGTCTCGCGTTCGCCCTCAAAACACCATTTTACCTGTTGCACCTTTGCAGCTGCGCCGGTTACAGCCGAATGCCTACCCTGGCCATTTCTCTTTTTTTCAGTTTACAGATGCCAGCTAATGCCAGTTAATGTTCATTTCTCAATTAATAAATGGTGCTTGTGGTTTACAGAAAATAAGGCAACAAATTTCTGCCAGGTTTACAGYACTTGGGCCAATCACTTCCAATTATTAGAGGCCATAATGTACCGTGACGAGGTTAACTCCTTGTGGGTGCAGCAAGCTGACATACACTTCAAGGGGTTGCAGGATAATTTTGTAACTTAGAAAAACTGCAGTTCGCTGGAATTTGGTTATTTTATATTTTAGTGTCCCTACAAAAAAAAAAAAAACTTGAACTTACCCAGTATGTCTGATAGGGAACAAGACATGGGGAGCACATCAAGTCAATACATAACTACTAGACGCAAGAAAAGACAGTGGAGAAGTCACTAAAGAGACTGTCTCCAAGAAATGCAGCTAGACATGGCTAAATATATCACCAGTAGCTAACTTATTTAATGGTATTTTATCCAAATGATTTGCTTGTGTTTTGRACAAACTCAGTTTTAAGACTTTTGCTGGAATAGACACTAGATGTTGTGTTCCTTGTTCAGTAGTTCAGGTTGGGCTGGGATGTAGCACAAATTGATCTATTAAAGCACTTTTTTTTCTTTTCTTTTCTTCTCTAACATCTATGCCTATGAGTTATGTGTACAGCTTGGATTACTTACAGAAGATACTATCGCCTCGTATGAAGTATGCCACACACTTCACATTAGGAGACGATTTTCAGTTTCCTACAGCACTGCCAAACTTTAAACATTCTGGCTGAAATTGTCCATGCTGGGCGTCTGTCTCAGGCTAAATTGTGATTTATGGATTTATTTGTTTTGAAAATTTCAGCTGAAACTCTTCTGCTGGGAAAAATATATTGTTTTACTAATCTTAAATTCTGAGAAGTCTTTCTTTGAAAAGCTGTAGCAGCTCCATGCTTTGAAGTAAGGACTTGAACTTTAGAATAGGAGTGGCTTTTGTATGAGAGATGTTGCCATGAAAAGCCAGCCAAATATGAACAAATTATAAGCATTCTGCCTAAAAATGGGCAGAAGAGTCTGTGCCCCTGCAAAGACATTTGCCCAGAGCCTGGAATGGAAGCCAGGATTCCTGAGGCTCAGCATTTTCTGAAATGCCAGCAAATATTTGTGAAATATAGGGACAACCCCATCTCTCCTAGTGCCAATCCAGACTGAGAATCAAGCCAGCATTGCCAGCCCTTTGCTCCATTAGCTGGGAGAGTGGGAGTCTGCATTAAAGGGTTCAAAGGATGATAGTCCATGGGGATGCTGTTATGATAATTACAAAGAGGGATTTGGAAAGGTGTGTGTGTGTTTTTTTTTTTTTAATTAT